GAGGAAGGAAGGAAGGAAGGAAGGAAGGAAGGAAGGAAGGAAGGAAGGAAGGAAGGAAGGAAGGAAGGGGCCCAAGGATCAGTGGAACTGAACAGAAGATGCAGACACAATTGCAAACACACTCAGATACCTTATCTTTCACAAAGGATCCAAACATGCTCACTGGAAGAAGATAGTCTCTTTAATAAATGGTGCTGGAGAAACTGGCTTTCCATACAATGAAGACTAAAACTAGAACCATGAGCATCACCATGTGCTAAAGTCAGAATGTATCAAAGATCTAAATATTAAGATAGAAAGACTTGAAGATAACAATAAAGAAGGTACTAACCATTGTTACTTTCTTTCTACCTTGGTTTGAAATTTTGTATCATTGTTTTTAGTGTTTTTTCTCTTTAAAATTAAAAATGATTATGGGCTTCTGTACTCTTTTAGAATATTTTGCTGAGTTTACACACCTATAATATTCAACAACGGAACTTAAAAAAAAATTGGGGTATAACTATGAATGTCCATTTTGTATCTGTGTATTCAAAGTGGTTGGGATAGATATATAGTTGCATTCTCTTAATGAATGGAATGATTTTTTCTAATGGTGTTTGTAAGTAGGATCACAAGTCTGCAGCTTGTACAGCAATTAACCACTGAGAAGAATATATGCAGTGTATTATTTGTTGAAACTGTACTTTTGATTTGATTTGAAACTGTCTCATTGCTATATGTTTATCAATAAAACTTTGAAAAGAAAAAGAAATAAAATAAAATAAAATTAAAAATGATAAATCACTAAATTTTCTGGAAAGAAAATAAGTAAAAATCTCAAAAGACATAGGTATAGGCAAAGACTTCATCAACAAAACTCTGACTGCAAGGGAAATATTACAAAAAATCACAAATGGGATCTCACCTTATGAAAAAGTTTGTAGAACAAATGAAATCACCAGCTGAGTGAAAAACAACCCACAGAATGGGATAAATTGTAACTTGTTGTCCCTCAGACAAAGGACTTATACCTAGAACATATAAAGAACTGAAAATAATCAAACCCCCAAAATTCATTGACCCAATCCAAAAACAAGCATCTGAGACACATACACATTCTCAAATAAAGAAATACATGTGGAAAAAATCTTCAACATAATTGGTCTTTTGAGAGATGCAAGTTAAAACAACACTGAGATTTCATCTCACCCCAGAAAAAAATAGCTATCATCAAGAGGTCAGCCAATAATAAATGCTGGAGGAGCTGTGAGAAAAAGGAACCCTTCTGCACTGTTGGGAGTGCAGACTGGTACAACCACTACAGAAATCAGTGTGGATTTCAGAAAAATTCGGATTGGAGGTCCCACTCAACCCAGCTATCCCCCTTCTGAGTGTCTTCCTGGAAGAATTAAAATCATCACACCATAGAGATAAATGTGTAGCAGCACAATTTGTAATAGTTACATCTTGGAAACAACCCAAATTCCCATCAACTGAGAAATGGATTAAAAAGATGTGGGAGAGTACTGCTCACTATAAAGAAGAAGAATAAATGGGAGACTTTTATAAGTACTTGGATGCAACTCAGCACCAAACTCATAAGTAAACTAGATTGACCCATATGTGTAAACATTGTATCACTAGTGTGAGAAACCAAACTAGAATAAGATTCAAAAGGTACAATAGATATTATGAGTTGGGAAGAAACCATTCAAAAATAAAAACAAACTGTGGTGGATGAAAGAGAAAAGGAAGGAAGAGAAAAAGAAAAAATATATACTTATGTAAAAAATATTTAAGATGGTTATGTACCTAGTTTTTCTTAGTTCATGGAAGAGAATGGTTTGTGCCAATACCGTTTGGACAAGATGTCACGCCTATAGCTTGTACTCCGAAGAACTGCCACAAAAACAGTAGGCAGTGTATTAATTATTGTAACTCTCCTGTTAAACTGCTTTGAAACCTTCCTATTAGCCTTTGTTATTTTAATTTTTCTCTTTAAAAAAGTACATGCAAAATGAGCTCAAAAAATATTGATATCCATGTGGAAAAAAGGGAACCCTTGTATACTGTCGGTGGAAAAGTAAATTGGAAATGTCACTTGGATAAGAGTGTAAAAGTTGCTTTAAAAACTTAAAAACAGGCAGAGCGGTTTGGTCGTCCGTTGAGGGTTTGTCGTTTTTGTTTTTGTCAACTGCGGCTGTTGCCTGAAGGCCAGCGCGGCGGTCTGAAAAGCGACTTAAGACTTCTGCGTTGGGTAAAAGAAAACGGCCTGAACCAAGCAGACTGCTCGTAAGTCCACTGGTGGGAAAGCCCCCCGAAAACAACTGGCCACTAAAGCTGCCAGGAAAAGCGCCCCCTCTACTGGCAGGGTGAAGAAACCTCATCGCTACAGGCCTGGTACCGTAGCGCTTAGAGAGATTCGTGGTTACCAGAAATCGACCGAGTTTCTCATTCGGAAGCTGCCTTTCCAGAGGTTGGTGAGAGAGATTGCCCAGGATTTCAAAACCGACTTGAGGTTTCAGAGTGCAGCCATTGGTGCTCTTCAGGAGGCTAGTGAAGCACACCTGGTGGGCTTATTTGAAGATACTAATCTGTGTGCCAGCCACGCTAAGAGAGTCACCATCATGCCCAAAGACATCCAGTTGGCCCGCCGGATACGGGGAGAGAGAGCTTAAGTGAAGGCAATTTTTATGGCGTTTTGTAGTAAATTCTGTAAAATACTTTTGTTTAATTTGTGACTTTTTTTTGTAAGAAATTGTTTATAATATGTTGCATTTGTACTTAAGTCATTCCATCTTTCACTCAGGATGAATGCGAAAAGTGACTGTTCACAGACCTCAGTGATGTGAGCACTGTTGCTCAGGAGTGACAAGTTGCTAATATGCAGAAGGGATGGGTGATATTTCTTGCTTCTCATGATGCATGTTTCTGTATGTTAATGACTTGTTGGGTAGCTATTAAGGTACTAGAATTGATAAATGTGTACAGGGTCCTTTTGCAATAAAACTGGTTATGACTTGATCCAAGTGTTTAACAATTGGGGCTGTTAAGTCTCACCATACATCACTGTGATAGAATGAGGGCTTTTTCAAGGGTGAAGATACAAGTCTTAACCACAGTGTAACTTACAGTTTCCTTAAAAGAAAAAAAAAAAAGTAAACCTGGCAGCTATAGAATACACTATGTGCATTTATAATAGCTATTTTATATATTGTAGTGTCAACATTTTTAAATGTTTTACATTCACAAGTGGCGGGAAGTCTTGTCATTAAGGTGTGTGTAATAGAGTCCAGTTGGTTTTTTCCTGACTAGACTGCACTTGTTTTCTATATAGTAGTGAAATGCTATGTGTATACCTTGCATAAGTCCTCATTCTACCACATTAACTAACCCTCTAGCTGATAATGCAAACACTAACTGGGGGATTTTGTTTATAAGGGCTCTAGAATAATAAGTTAATTCACACCAGCATCATCTGTTACTAATCTAGTTAAGTGCAGCTTTTCATTGTATTGTGGTTGGTCTCATAATTAGGTTTTTTTTTTTTTTTTTTATCTACTGAGAGGAAACAATACCAAGGTTCGTTTTTTCTCCTTGTGGAGTTAGTGTGAACTTGTGGGGGAGAAGCATACTGCTCAGCCTATTGGATCTCTGCCAGTTAAGATGGTGTTGGGATAGGTCACATCTGGTTACTGTCCTGGGAAAATCCCTTTTATAGAGCCGGCTTTCCAAGGGGTTTTTTAATTCATCCTATTGAAGTTTTTAGGTCAATTATGTATGTTGACTAAATTTATAAATAAAACTTGTTTATTCAAAATAAAAAAAAACTTAAAAACAACCCACAAATTTTTGAAAAAATATCAACTAATAAGCACCCAGACAAAGGTCTGCTCTTCAGAATTTATAAAGAACTAGAAAACATTAAGGTCCCAAAATTTAAAGACCCAGTCCAGAAATGGGCATCCAAGATGAACACACACTTCTCAGAGGATAAAATCAAAGAAGTGAATAAAAATATGAAAAAATGCTTCACATCACCAGCCATTCATGAACTACAAATTAAAACAACAGAGATATCATCTCACCCCACAAAGAATGGCTATCATAAAGAAATCACCCAACAACAAATGCTGGAGAGGCTGTGGGGAAATAGGGGGCAGTTTATCAAACTTTCTTATAAACTTTCACTTATAAAATTAACAAGATCTTGAATACGATAGTATCTGCAGCTAATTATTCTCTACTTATATACTTGAAACTTATAAAAGATGATCTTAAGTGTCCCCATCACAAAGAAAAAGAGGCAAATTAGTGAGGTGATGTTAACTACCTTGATTGCAGTCACCATTTCATAAGGTAGCTGTAGATCAAAAACGTACCCTAAATATATACAATATTATTAATTATGCTGCAAAAATGCTGAGCAGTGTGGAAAATCTGTAGCTGCTTAAGATGGCATAAAAATGCTTAGATTAGTCAGGAGCTCTCACCTAAGACACGGAAAACAACTCTCCACTTGCAAGGTTTCAAGAGAAGTAGAAACAAAAGGAAGCTGCATTCTGGTGTTACCACTGTAGTCCTGCTTTTTCGACACCCTAGTTACATTAATCATTCACCTCCACACCATGGACCACCAGGTATTACTTTAAAAGAACATGTGCTCACAGAAAGCTCATCATATGGGAAGCAGCAGGGTGCAAAATGTGTTAGTCAGCTTTCTTCTGCTGTGATGAAACACCTGGGAAAATCAACTGAAAGAATAAATGATTTATTTCGGTTCAAAATTTCAGAGGGAGGTTTCTGTCCATGGTCGCTGAGCTCCACTGTTTCTGGCCCTGAGTAAGAAGAACATTATGGGGCAGAGCTTGTGTTGGAGGAAAGCTGCTCCAGGCAGACAGAAAGTAAAAAAGAGGAGAGAAGAAGGGATCAGGACAGAATCTACCCCTTAAGGGTACACCGCAGTGCTCTCCTTCCTCCAAGGCCTCATCTCCTAAACTCTTCAGCCCCTCCAAGAGCCCATGAAGTTATGAATCAGGTTGGTTAATCCACTTGTGAGGTCAGAACAGTCATGATCCAACAATCTTCCGATATCCACTCTGAACACTGATGCTTCAAGAAGCAGCCTTCAATACTGGAGCCCTGGGGGACAGTTCAGATCCAAACTAAAACACAAAACTATTCTTGAAGCCTAATTGTGCTTATGTAACAAATAAAAACTATGCAAACATGTGTATGTATGTCCACGCACTCGCACAGGGTGATATAAAATAGGAGTCTCATTTTCCCTACTCTCTTTACTACCTCACTCACATGGAAAGGGGTCTTTTAGTTCAACAATCTGCCATTGTTCCACTGTGACAGGAGCTATATTGAGCACAGTGATTTACTTGGGATGTAAGTACCTTTCTCAGAAAGATGCAAAGCACATAACTCCACAAGCTCATACAGGATTTGAGGTAGAGACATGTTCCCCAGCCCTGGTCACAGAGTGGGACCCCACCCTGACTGATAGGAAAGAGAGAAGAAACCAAGTACAGGGGCTCATGGCCACTCTTCCTAGCTGGCAGAGATGAGGGACATGCCAAGGGAAACATTAAGGCAGTATTTTTTCACTATCTTTTGGAGTTAGAATACTTTTTTTTTTGTGGTACTGGGGATCGAACTCAGGACCTTGTGCTTGCCAGGCAAGCACTTATTGCACTGAGCTATCTTCCTGGCCCTAGAATACTTTAAGGATCAGCTAACAGCAGCAGGTGATCATTCAGGTGCACACACACCTCTCCACACAGGGAGGATAAAACACTGCCCTTAGGTGGAACTATTTAAGAACTATAGAAGAATGCTCACTCCTCAGTTAAAAGTTATTACAGTGGGCAGAAGGCTGGGGACCAGGCCTGGCAGGCAGGCCAAGGGAAGAATGTGAAAGGACATTTCCATCCTTCACTCTCTGCTGGCACTGTGTTGATGTTTATAAAAAACACACGAGCACATATTGGTAGTGTAGCTTTTTTGGTATGCTAAGTTTCAATCAATAAACTGGAGCCAGCACGGTCTTTGTATGATCCTCCCTCAGCCTCCAGGGGCTGAGCCTTTCCAGCCCTTCCAGCAGTGCCACAGTCTGGGAGTGTCGGCCTTCATAGTAACAAGAGCATCGCAGTACAGTGTCTATGCTGGAGACATTTGTGCTGGCTGTCCCTGCAGAGAAGGCACACAAAGCAAAGGCGCTGAGCCATGCCACTTTTAACTTGGCTGTCTCGGTACATCTACCTCCACTTTCAGCATTACACAACATCAAAGAAGACTGCAGAAAAGCCCAGTCCCTTCCTCACTCTGGAAAGAGACCTGTTCCTGGGCAAGAACACGCTCATCCCCTGGAGTTTTCATAAGTCATAAGGAAATAAATTGAAAGGCCTTCCCCAACAAGGGCACCACTCTGCTTCCCATTATCTGGAGCTCCTTACAGCAGGCTGTGAATTAATTCCATAGAACTGAGCTCTACCACTGAGTGGTGGACCATTCAGCCTTTTTGATTAAATTCCATTCAAAAAGTCCTGTATCTAAGAGGAATAATATAGACTGCTCCAAATTATATTAATTTTATAAAATTGTGTATTTAATACAGAGTAGAATTTATAAGACCTTTCAAGTTATAAAAAATCGTTAGAGTGGTGCACACACTTTGAAAAACCATCTGACAGCTCCAGTGAAGATTAAATATACAATTTCTCTAGACCCCAGCAATTCCACTCCTACATATATATTCAAAGGAAATGAAAACAAGTATTCAGACAAAATCTTGTAACTTAATGCTCATAGCAGCATTATTCATATTGGTCAAAATGTGGAAAGAACCCCAATGCTCAGCCATTGATAAGGGAATAAATAAAATATGGCACTGTATATTCACACAATGGAATATTGTTCAAGCACACTAAACATCTGACATGCGCTACAATATGTTGAGACTTAAAAACAGTATCCCAGGTGAAAAGAGCCAGGCACAAAAGGTCATGCAGTTATAGCATTTATATGAATTGTGTCTGGATTAGGCAAATTCATAGGCATAGAAAGTAGATATATGATTACCGAGGCTGGCAAATGAGGAGAGGATTAGAGACTATATTGGTCTGCTTTCCTGTTGCTAGAACTTACTACTCAACACACACAATTTAAAGGAGAAAAAGTTTAATTTAACTCATATTTCGAAGGATTCAGTCCATGTTTAGTTGGGCTCCAGTGCAAACATATGGCGGAAGGGCACACCAAAGCAAAGGTGCTTAGTGCATGGCATCAAGGAAGCAGGGCATGGGAGCAGGGCCAGGGAGGACCCATTTAGAGTACGCAGGGCCATGCCTCCAGGGCCCACACAAATGAACTCAGGGGCATGGCTTAACTGTCATCAGATGATGTTCTGCAATTGATCATGGTGATGACTGAATAAATCTATGAATATGCTAAAAATCCATGGAACTGCACTCTGCACAAAAAGAGATTTCTGAGACCTCTTTGGGGTGAAGTCTAGCTTTTCTACACTCTACTCTCAAGATAATTATCCTTAGACATTAGCTAGACTAGAAACCAAAAAGCTCTATCATTCGTTTTCTGTTAGGCACCCTCATCAAGTGCCCAGCCCTGTTCAGCTACTGGGGACACAGATGCATTACTGCCTTGGGGAGCATCCACTCTATTGATGGCGAAAGGCAATCATAAACAAGAAAATGTGTCTATCACTGGCGACAATAAGCAATTCTTTACAAAGAAAAATAAATCCAGCTGAGTAGGGAGGAACAAAAGAAGGTGGAATTGCTAGTTTTCAGAATAATCAGGGGGCTTTTCTAGACAAGTGTCACTTAAGCAGAGGCTGCAAGGAACAGCCCACACAGGAGTCTAAGGAAAGAGAAACAGCAGCACAAGTGAAAGGAAGACAAAGGCCCTCAAGTGGGCATGCGACTGCTGTGTCAAGGCACAACAGGAGCCCTGCGGTGTTGGAGAGGGGAGAGCAAGGAGGAGAGTGTCAAAAA